CTCCTCTCTCTCTCTCTCTCTCTCTCTCTCTCTCTCTCTTCATAGTCTGGTTCTCTACAAGCTGATTGTTTTTCATGCCCGATAAAACATGGGCAATAGACCCATTTTTCTTTACTTTTTCCTCGTTTTGGATATTTTTATTGTTCCCCTTCTTTGATATGCTTTTTTTTTTTCTCTGCAAATGCATTCATACCAGCTGTTTCTTTAAGGCCTTGATTTGGGGTTGAATATACAGGGCCCTTTATAGGAGGCGGGAATTTCAACAGAGGATTGGAGTTGAGAGTTAGAGAGGGGAGATCGCAGTTACGTCTTTTAGTTAACAATGTTGCCACTGAAGTTAGTTCTACTGAGGTGAGTTCAGTCCTTAATATCCAGGACACTAATTATCATAAGTGCAATAGCCCTGATATTGTAATTTTGTTGGGTCAATTAAATTGTGTGGTGAAACTTATTCAGAATTGTTGGTTTTTGAAATTTCCTTACGAATTTATGATTTTTCGATTTGATCTCATCATTTTTTGCTGAAAATCTCAGAGACATAATGCAAGTTTTCTAGTTCGAAATTAGATGCCTTTATTTTCTATAGAATTTATTGATTTACTTTACTTTTTATCGCTGTCCTTTAGCAAGCACACTCATGAAGAACTGTATCACGCAGGAAACTGAAGTTTGAAATGCTCCCCTAGTGTTCATTGCCCTTAAAACTCACTCCTCTTGAGTTTTTGTATAAACACACACGTTTTTGTATAAACACTCACACACATGCACACACACAGACAAACACACGCAATTTTATGTACAGGTTCTCTCACTGAGTGATTCCTGTACAAATTACACACACGTGCATGTGTGTGCCCGCACACACACACATATATATATATATATTTCAATATATATATATATATATTTCAAAAAAATGTTCATTGCTCTTAAATTAATGGTTTGCATGTATAGGTTCGCTCATTGAGTGATCCCTGTACAAGTTACTGAACTATGGTTCTGGTGGAAAATTGAGTATATGCTAAACAATTACAGGCACAAAAGCTTGCTGCCAAGGAAAACCAGAGGCCTGTATTTCCTTTCTCTGCAATTGTCGGGCAAGATGAAATGAAGCTATGCCTTCTTCTCAATGTGATTGACCCCAAGATTGGTGGTGTTATGATCATGGGGGACCGTGGAACCGGAAAATCCACCGCTGTTAGGTCCTTAGTTGACCTACTTCCTGAGATCGAGGTAGTGGCAGGAGACCCATTTAACTCAGACCCACATGACCCTGAATCAATGGGCATAGAAGTGAGAGAGAGTGTCATGAAGGGAGAGAAACTCCAAGTTGTGACCACGAAAATTAACATGGTTGATTTGCCTCTTGGGGCTACAGAGGATCGAGTTTGTGGAACAATCGACATTGAGAAGGCACTAACTGAGGGTGTCAAAGCATTTGAACCAGGTCTCTTAGCTAAAGCAAATAGGGGAATTCTCTATGTTGATGAAGTAAATCTCTTGGATGATCACTTAGTCGATGTTCTTTTGGATTCTGCTGCATCTGGTTGGAACACCGTAGAGAGAGAAGGGATTTCAATATCACACCCTGCACGTTTTATTCTCATTGGCTCTGGGAACCCTGAGGAAGGAGAGCTTAGACCCCAACTTCTTGATCGATTTGGAATGCATGCTCAAGTGGGTACTGTGAAAGATGCTGAGCTTAGAGTGAAGATAGTTGAGGAGAGAGCACGGTTTGATCAAAACCCAAAGGAATTTCGGGATTCTTACCAGGCAGAGCAAGAGAAGCTTCAAAACCAGATTACTAAAGCCAGAGAGACGCTCTCTTCTGTTCAAATTGATCATGATCTCAGAGTAAAGATTTCTAGGGTTTGTGCTGAGCTGAATGTTGATGGATTGAGAGGTGATATTGTGACAAATAGGGCTTCAAAAGCTTTGGCTTCTCTAAAGGGAAGAGATAAAGTGACTGCTGAAGATATAGCAACTGTAATTCCAAATTGCTTAAGACACCGTCTTAGGAAAGACCCCTTGGAATCAATTGACTCTGGTTTGTTGGTCATCGAGAAATTCTATGAAGTGTTTAGCTGAGTGAGGTAATTGTGTAATGTTCCCTGTTTTGTTCTAGTACTTTCTATGCATATCAATCTGTTTCTGTATATGCAAATGTATTAATGAATTCCAGAGTTATCAGTTTTGCCTAAATTCGTGACTCTCATTTTGTACTCCTACATCGGGGGGAACTTTAAATCATAAAGGGTTCATTTGTGCTTGTGATAGTGGATAAAGTTTACTCATTCACCAAGAGATGAGTGACATTTTAAGTTCCCATTGATACTGATTATCTTTTCCCAGAGATTAATACCTAATGTGCTATGGACAATGTTATGATGATCGATGGTTCAACAGCGAAAGCCCAAACCGCTCTGCATGCTTAATATGATCACTCCATTTATCTGTTAAAAAAATTATTGACAGGTCCATTGGAGTATCTAGTATGCTTCCTTTTCTGTACGTCTCATCAATATTTACAACCTAAATTGATTTGCTTCCCAATAGATGTCACCAAAAGATTATTGAGACTGTTGCCTTTCTAGATTTTAATATTTTTATCTTCAGTGGAAGGTCTAGAGAACACGAGTGGTTGTTTCTGTTTTGCTAGAAATTTTTTTTTTCTGTTGGTGGTTTACCAGAACTGGTGCACTTTACATTATCTATAGACTTGTGTTCCTTTCTGCATATATATAAACACACTTACATATCACATCACTAATGGTAAATTTATAATTTTTGACTCCGAAATTTTGACAACACAATGCCTTTACAAATAAAAAAATTACATTAATAGTAGCTTGTTTGAAAATTTTGAGAAGGACATATTTGTAATTTTAAATTGCTTTAATGACCCACCCATTATTTAAAAAATCAAAAAATCAAAAAATCAAATCTTTTTAAATTTGAAATTGAATTTTGGAGGGATTTTAAAAAGATAAAAATTTCCTTCTTAAAATACATGAACTATTTATAGGCAAAAATCATTTTTTACCCGTAAGGGCATTTTAGGTCAAATATTTTGGCTTGGTAAATTCTAAGTTCACCATTAGTATGGTATATTATAAAATAATACTATATATATATATATTATATATATATAAGGTGCCATCTATAC